CATCATTCTATGAGCTAAAAATACTTAAGCAAGTTCGTACTGTAGTGCCACTGGATTCATACTGCATTGCTACAGTACAATTGGATGAAGTTGGTCCATTACATTTTGTTACTTGAAGTAAATCTAAACTAAATTGAGGTCAATGACCAAATTCATGTTGCCATCAAAGGAGGCAGGATTTTGCCCTTTATCCATAGCTGGATCCACGTTTGTGCATGAATACAGATCTGTTTCAGTTTTGTTTCTGCTGTAATTCTTCCTTCTTTCCGTTTCACCTTTGCAATTTCCTGAGAACAGGACTGGAGGCCACTGGCATGTTTTAACATGATTCATTGTGTGAGAAATATTTTCCACTGTTGGAGTACAGTACTCTCAACAACCATTAACTTTAATAGGTATAAAAGACATTCAGCATCTCCTGGCTTCAGGCTTCTAACTGCAGGGAGAGATCTAACTGCTGATTTAGAACAATAAATTGCATAAGTTAAAGTGACAGCACTGTCCCTGGTGCTTTACTCTAATTACAGAAAAATAAAAGTAGATAAAAGGATTCAACAGTTCTTTGGAATATAAGAATTGCCATATCAGATCAAGCCAATGATACATCTGCTACATTTTCTATGAGCATTCAGATAAGAGCTGCAAAGACAGGTGTAAATAAATCAAATTGTGCATAACTTTAGAATAAAATCTCCTTTGAGAGAATGTTACATTTGCATTCCATGTAAATTTTGAAAGGCGGTATTCTCAGACTAGTATTAGATCAAAAGCTGGGCAGTGGTCAGTAAGGCTATTTTACTTGGCAAGCCTTTGAGGGGAAGCTGAGGCTAGGAGCGGGTGACTTCGAGTCTCTCATTTAGCCATAATAAATGAAAATCAAAATTTCAAGAGGTATCTCTTCAGGGAGTCATTAGCAGCTGAAGCTTGGGCCTCCTTATGCTAAATGCTATACAAATAATAGGGGGGAAAAAAAGCACCTGTCCTAAGGTTTTTATGTTCTGCAGTAGACAGTTAAAGCTAAGCATGGAAGTAAAAAGCATTCCATCGCTTTGTAAATAAACTGAGATTGAAAGAGATTAAGGACTTGATCCAAAGTCAGTTGGAATGGTGAAAATTTTCTCCCCATTTATTTTAAGGGAGAATAAATAAAGCTCTAAAGGATTTGCTTGTTTTCACACAAAACTTGTAGCGGAGCTGAAACCTGAGGTCCCCATTATAGTAAACACTAAGAAGAAGTTTTATTTATAGCCTATTTCTTTTTTTAGGCTGCTAACAAGATAGCCTAACAAAAATAAAGGTTGTGCTGTTGAAGGCAATGGGAGTTGTCTGAACACAAAGTGTATAAGGTGAACCCTTTTTTTTTTTTCTTCCAATCTCAAGAACATCAAAATAGTGATTCTGGTCTCGCTTGCAGCTTTAAACAGGATCAGATTGACCATGATTATGCTGTTGCTAACAAGCCTTGTTTCTTGGGTGACTAAATTCCCAATAGGCAAATGCCATCTGCCAGCTGAAGGAAAAGAGAAGTCACCACTGAGACAATATCTAACTCATTAGGAGTTGAGAAACACTAAATCTGGTAGAAAAGCTACATATCAATCAATATCCTTAGAAAACTGTAACTCTACATTAATTACACTTGTTTGTTGAAATAAGTGCGTGAAGGTTCTTCGTCTGATATTGAAGGACTTTTCCTCTATTAAACTGACGATTTTTTTAAAGAGCTTTTAAAGAGGTAAAAATCATTGCATGAATTTCTACTGACTTCCAGTGAGACAGTATGTGGCCTTGGAAATTCGTTTTACAGCTAGGTACACAGAAATTCAGATTCTGACTAGAGCAATATAAATAATAGTAGCACATCAGTTTACCCTTACGGGAATAATAATTAATATCTATTGCTGTAAAATGTTACTTCAGTGATATTTCTCCATGATATGGATAGGAACTTAAAAAAAGCTGTGAAGGCTCTTACTAGGCCTTTAAATTTCATGATATTCCAAAAGAGATGTCTTTGTTTTGGATTTTATTCATGTAAATATTAAAATATACTTTTTAAAAATAAATTTTATATGAAGTAATAGTTGTATACTCTCTAATTTGGTAAAGTACTATAATTTTGGCAGTCAATTTTTTTTTCATCCTGCTCTAAAATGATATTAAAAGGTAATAAACCAGATGATTGATTAAAAAAAAAAAAGCTGTGCACAGAGGAGCTAAGTCATCTGCTTTAAAGTTCATGTCAACATGTGTCTCTCTTGCAGAATACAGCTGCTTTCTAGCAGGACAAGTCAGTTCAATAGTAGTGAAAGGTGGATATTTTCATGTGAGTAGTGTCAGATGCGTGGGTATGGAAAGTCATTGCCTGGTGAGAGGCAAGCAGCAGTAGGAGGTTGCGGTGCCTTCTGTTTTCTTCAGTCTCCCAGGTGAAGAAGCTGAGCTGCCTCAGGGACCTTCTGGGGAGTGCAGGTCACACTGGAGCATGTGTGATTTTGAGTCTCCTCGGAGTAGATCCTTTCTGTAAGCATGGACTGTGCAACATCTGTCAAGCAATTTCTACTTGGCATTACTGATCTCTTACGAAGAGTGCAGCGGGCATGCAGGTTATCCACTGTTAACCATGTGCAAGAACTGATTTATGGTCTTTATAATTTGATATTTTGCTAGCGATTTCTGGTAGTATGGGTCCCCGAAAGAAAGCAATCTTGGTTAGCAAAACATGTAGTGTTTATTATCGGTGGATAACTCTGATTCATGCTATTGGAGCAAATGAATGCCTTAGTCCAACCCATCGTTGATTGTCAGTGTGAACTTGCATTTCTGTTAATGTTTCTGGTCAGATAAATCCAGGAGAAACTGAGATATCTCTGTCTGACCATAGGAACTGAGAGCAAAATTGCAAAGGACTACATGGAAGTAGGAAATCAAAGAATGTAGTGACACATGCAGGTATGAAACAAAATACTTTCCAGAGATGTCCATGGCGACTAAAAGTCATAACTCCCTGGGATAACAGAAATCTCAATAGAGATGCTGCTTTTATGGCAAACTAATTTCTTCCCCCCTTTCCTCAATTAATCTTTTCTCGTTCCACAGGCTATAAATTACTGATCTCTTTCTTTCCGTTAGAAGATAAGCACCTTATCACCTCACCTCTTTTCTAGCATCATTATTATTCCACAGGAACTGAGTATCTTTACTCTCAGGTGGTCCAACTGATATATATGTAATTAAAAGCAGAGCATTTTCTCTTAACTTGCATTCAGCTTTGAAGTTTTTGCTTTGATTTCAGACCTGAAAAACACCTTCACATGCCTGCAAGTTTGTCTCCTTTTTCCAGCTGTACTAGTTGATCTAATAAAATATATTACCTCTGTCTATAAACTTTGCCTTGCCTGTGTACCGGTATCATTATTAGTGAAGCAGAGATGGCAAGTTTTCATATAACTAATTAAAGTGTATGTGTGAGGACTCTTTATAGCCTTGAAGATTAGGACAACATGTTTAAATATAATGAGATGGAGGAAAAAAGGATTCAGTAGAGATCAAGGTAAATAACTAGATTATCAAGAAAAATAATTTTAGGAATCATCTCTTAAATGGAGACATTTTGGATTAAAAAGATAACAGAGATGAGAAAGCTGAGCATATATAAAGGAGATAGTGCTGGCGTCTAATTGCCTGAGTAACATTCCTCTATGAAGGTCCTATTCCCTGTGGTCTCGTTTAGTAGGACTATGTTGTTGACAGTTGTTAAGTAAGGCCTGTGATGTATTTTTCTGAGCTAATTGCTGTTTTGATTTGGGATTTTAGGGCTTTTTAAGTTACATGATAGGATTGTTGATTACAATATGTAATAACCATGAAAATCTCATGGAGTTTTCTGAGGTCAGATTGTCATGCTTTTGTTTGCTGCTGTGGAGCTAGTACTTGCAGCTCTGTGTAGTAGCTCTGCCATTCTCTAAATTAACAGGTTGTCTTTTGTGTTTGAAGGGATTGATGTGATTGAAGTGATTGCCATGTAAATACCTAAATATATTACTTTGGGGGAGAGATGGATCCAAATGGCCAAAATTGGTAATGTGAAAAGACAGTTTGTTGTAAGAACAACACAAGCATTTGGAAGGGACTTAAATGAGTGAAAAATGTGTGGGAAATGATGGGAAGATGTATGAGTGGAAAATCCCAGAGTGGGAAATGTATGGGATAGGATAGTTTTGCTTTTGAAATATTTTCCAGTGAAGGTGTCAGGGATGTGCTGTTTTTTACATATCTATGGAGGCAAAAGCCCTAATGTAGATGTAGATAGACTGACAAAAAAGGGCTATTGCCAGTACAATTTATTTTTCTGTAATAGCAACTTTGGATTAACTGTCCTGGGTTTTGGCTTCCTAAGTAACCTGCAAATCTATATGAAAAGAATAATTAATTAAAGTGCTCAAAGTTATTTTAGTAATATTGCCCATTCATTCCTCTCAAACTTCTTCTAAGGACTTAGAGTCAACCTTTTTTTTTTTTAGGAGTTGATGCCCTTATTTCTGTGCATCAGCAATAGTTAAGCTGAGTCTGTTTGCAGCACTCCATTATTTGGCATCATGTCAGCATGACAGAAGAATCCTGTTTCACACAGAATTTTAGTATTATCTACCAATTATAACCCCCTCGCAGGTCAGCATTTGGAAGCAGTAGCTTAATTATTTATTTATTCTTAATTCGTGGACTTACAAATGTAGTCCAATAATAAAGCACTGGCCTGTTTCTTTACATCTGTATACACATGGCTTTGTTATTCTTTTCACTAGTGTTCCTTTGGACTTAAGCTAATGAGATAATGAGAAGGCCCAGGCTCAGAAGTCTAAATGAGGCTTCAGAATATTGTTTTTCCCCCTCAAACTACCTTTTACTTGCACATATTGCTATATGTGGTATGTATGACATTGGTTTTTGAATACCCATGTATTGCACAAAGCTAAAACATTGTTCTTGATTTTGCGTTGCAGTACAGAATTGGGCAGCTGTACATGATAAGCAAGCATAGCCATGAGCAGAGCGACCGAGGTGAAGGGGTGGAAGTGGTGCAGAATGAACCCTATGAAGATCCCAATTATGGCAATGGTCAGCTAACAGAAAAACGGGTCTATCTCAACAGGCAAGTACAAGAAAACTGTTTCTCTCAGCATGGGCGGTAATAACAATTTGCAAAGAATATCTCTGTCATGCAATAGCCTTTCTGTTTCAAATAGAACATGTTCCCATGAATACATGCCACTTCCTGGCAGCTGCAGAAAGAAGGAAAGTAGGATAAAACTGTTGCCTGAAGTAGAGAGATTAGTTGTCCTTTCTCTTAGAGTACTTTACATATTTATTACTTAAGTGAGTTTAATAGTGTCTAAAGGTACTAAACACCACTAATGCTGATTAACTTCAGTTAACCTGAATGGTCTCCCTACCTATAGGGAGTCTCATTTAAGACTTGAGGATAAATAGTCAGTCAGGCTTGTAACCCTTAATCATTTGGGGATTCCATTTTTATCTTGACAGTAAAATCAGAATGGGTATTTTTTAAGTATTTGAAAAATAATTCATTGATTCAACATGCTGCATGCGCTTCTGAAGGCATTAAAATGAAACACACTAAAGTAGTAAGAGTCTTCTTTAAAAGGAACTTATTTTCTTTCCAAAGGAAAAAATTATGTTTTTCAAAATTCCGAGATCAGCATCTGCAGCATGTAGGCTAGCACAGAATAGGTGCGTAAAACTCGGAACAGCTCATCCTAGCTCATACTTAAGAGAATTCCTTAGGCTAGCAATAAGCCTTTTGGGTCTTGACAAAGTGAGATTCTCACTTCATAATAATTTTACAAGGCCAATACTCTATTTTTGGTGACAAAAGATTTGCCTCAGTAAAGCAAATTGACGTTATGAACGGCCATCAGGCTTGCACAATGATGACTTTCTGTACCAAAATGATAGACTTAAAGACATGATGGAAAAAATTGCTTTTGTTTCCCAAAAGTCCCATCATTTCTTAAAGTGAAATACGGTCTTCCTATGGTGAAATTGTATTGCTGAGGGTCAATTCTCCCACACTCAAAGGCCAGAGATGTTTTAAAACGTACATATATTTGTGTCCTATGAAATATATTGCTCAATCTATTGCCATTTTTATTACTGCTGATCTAATTGAATGCTGCTGTTTTTCTGATGTTCTTCTATTCCTCTGGGCCTGTTTCCTTTTATTAAGCTTTTACGCTCTTCAGCCTTTAGTAGTGGGCATCGAAACACTATAGCTATTTCTTCTACATTGCAAGTTACTCCTCCAGTGCAATCCAGACACATCTAACCTTTACTCAGGCTAAATTGAATCACTGGTAATGTGCGCACACACACACACACACGCACAGAGCTCAATAATGTATCTTTCACCAACATTTAATATTATTTTGTTTGTAACCCTGTTTTCTCACAGGCTAGATATAAGACAAGGAAAAATCAATAAATGTGTTCCCGTTGTAGAGCTCCCAGATGTTTCTGTATTTTTCTTTCCTTTGGCACTGATGAAAGAATTCAGAATTGCCACTTAGGAATAATTCAGAATATCGACAATGGCTGTGCCCTAGAAAGTAGGTGCAAGAAATACTTGGGAGGCATGCTGTTTCTGGTAGTGCAGGCAGTGGACCAAAGGATCTCACACCCAAAGACAGGTACAAACACTGACAAAGATCTCTGTACCTACAGCAACTTGTGAAGTTCGCCTAAAGCTGCAGTGGATATTTGAAGTCAGGCTCATTCAGTTTAATGATAGATTATAAATATTTTGTTGTAATCATCACCAAATTTGCCATCTGAATCTTTCTTTATGCTATTTTTGGTGTCACAATACCACCAGATGTTGCAGTACTGTTGAAGTTTTGGGCAGAGGATCAGCAAGATTTCAGGCAGCTATGTCTTTTGCTGGGAGACCAGAGTCTCTCTCTGGACGACTGCAGTCGGGGAGCCTGGCTGCCGTACACGGTATTGGAAACATTCTCCTCAAGTCCTTCCTTCCTTGGAGAACGGGATTCCTTACGCCAGTACAGTTCTTTTTTGCGTCTTTTCCAGGGCTTGCTGCCCTGATGCACTCGCTTGCTTTGCTTCACTTTACTTTGCTCTGGACTTTGACGGGGAACAGACAAACAGCACTGGGATCAAGACCAGCCTCTCCCTTCCTCTGCTCCTCACTGCTGCATACATAGTACAGCCCTGTTATACTTCTCCAACCCTGCACGGAAGAGAGGGAAAAGAAATATGAACAAGAGAGGTACCAACACTGATACACTAGCACTAGGTGTGTTACAGAACAGGCCCAAACAAGGCAGCGTAGAGCAAGGCAGAAGATAAGTGTCTCGGATATCATCGTAGCACCTAATAAAATAGTTGATGCTTGGTTTCATATAATCTTTGAGTAGTGATACCACAGTGATTTTGGTTTACCACCCATCCCTAGCTGACTATAAACAGAACTAAAATGATGACAACATAAAGTATATATTAAAAAAAAATCAGAAATGCATTAGATCCAAAGCCTGATAATGAGAATAAAAGCTGAATTTTAAAAGTAATATTGATTTCTAATCAAACAATTGCAAAATACCAGGCTTTTGCAAGCTATAAGAAATAAAGGATCAAAATACAGTTATTAGGCTAGCTAAATCGAAGAGATAAAATATTACAGTGTGATTTTACAGTGCTTGCTTATTTAAAATGAACTCCATTTTAGAAGAATCTTAATAGGAAAGAAAAAATAGATAGATTCAAGTGGTAGAGATGACAGCTCTTGTTAAAGACTGATTTAATTTATTCTCCTTTAGTGAGCAACAAATGAGTTAGTAACGTCTGCAAAAAATATATTTGCTCTTTCAGGAAAAATTGAAAAAAAATTAACAAATGAGAGAGGGATTAAGGACTGCAGAGTAGTCAGACAGAACTGAGCTTATCTTTGATGCCTAAACTGTCCTCTCTTTATACACCAAAGCTCCCTAGCAGATACATGTTTTCCATTTCAACCTTCCTTCTGTACCAGTCCTATTCGGTAACGAGGTGTAGAGATATGTAGCTCTGTTTCTTGTTTGCACTCTTTGACACCCTCTATGTCCTAAGAGAGCAAACACAATTATGTGTGGTCCTTATGCTGATTATTCAAGGACAGTCTGTGTGTTTTCTTCTTACTGCACGCCCTTGTGAGATCTAAGCATAACCTGCTTGTGACAAAGAACTATTTTATTAAATAAGAAGAAGTAATAATTTGTATGCAACTGCATGCAAATGAACTGCATACAGGTCACTGTTTGTTCTCTACCAGGTCATTGCAAAAGAATTTAAAGTTAAAAATTGTTTTTTCAGTATTTTGGAAAGTTTTGATTTTAAGTTTATTTCAGGTCTGTATTATGAGACTAGAAACCCTTATATCTACACATTATGCTGTGTTTCAGCAGAAACTTAAGTTTGTATTTATAACAACTTTTTTTTTAATTGGGGAATATAATGGGGTTTTTTTCTGTTGTTAGAGGGATGGTGTCATTGTTTTAGGATTGGTAGTGTAACCGCTGATTTTGCGGGAGTCAGGATTGATCCATGCAATGACATTTTATAGATAAAACTTACCTCTTTGGAACACCACTTTGCCTGACTCACGCTCAGTCCCTTCGTAAGAGCCTTCTCATAAGAGTCTGTTATGAGAGCCTTCATGAACCTTGAGTTCATGCTGTTCAAACGAAACCACCCCCTGTACCACTGCGTAGGAGCTTATCTCAAGTACATACTGCACTGTGTATTGCCATTGGGGTAATGCCTCTGCAGATGTGCATTAATTGTGCTGATACAAGTAGCTGCATATTACTCCTTGTATCTGCAGCAATGACCATTGGGGTCACAGTGGGAAACTCTGCTATTTCAATAGACATTTTCAGAATTCTCAGCTTTTAAAAAATGTTCCAATTCCTACAAGCCAAACAGAATGAATGCAGAGATAAAGCGTTAGCGCGCTTCCTGCTGTAAATTGCCCTCGTGCTACAGAAGTCCAGCTAAAAGTACTCTCTGGGAAAAGCAACCAATGGAAAATATGAGCTATGTCTAGCTTTCCTGATCGTGTGTTGAGCTGGATAACCTCAGCTCTTCCCAAGAGTGATATTGGGCACTGCATAGTGTCTGGATGAAAGAACCCCAGAACAGCATCAAGTTCAATAAGGCAAGGAGGGCTTGGAGGATGCAGATCTCATGGAGAACCAGCAGCTCCTCAAGACTTTGCCAAATCTACCGCAAGCCCCACTGAGGAAAGCAGCACACGTATTAGGTATTGGAGTTGTACACTTTTCCGTCCATCTTTCTTTCCTGTGTTAATAAGCCTCAGTTTTTCTTATTCCTTACTTTCATTTTCCAGTCATGGGTCTAAAATAAATAGCTTGCTTGTTGTGGTTAAATTCAGGCATAGACAGATAAAGAAACTGTTTATTGGCTTAACAGTCTTGACTTTGAAGTGGCAGGAACAGCCATCCTTCTCTGCTTGCACAGCTTGGCCCAAATATTCCATTTTTATTCTGCTACGATTTTTATATGACGTGCAAGCAGCTGGGCTTTCAAGTTGTGCCCACGTACTTTTCAGGAGGTCTGCTGTGTTCCTACAGCCACCCAAAGGACACTTCTCGCACCAGTCTGCCATAAATGCTGAAGGAGTGGCACTGGGAAGAGACCAGCAACAGAGAGGTTTGGACAGCTTCACACAACTGTGAGCAGCTGTTCTGTGTGCTTTGAAACGTGCTCATGAACAATAAATGAGCTACTGTCATCAGTGGCTACATACATTTAGTAATATTTATGATATTTATGCCTCCGTTTTTGTTCAGGACAAGCAACAATCCACAGTCTCATGGCTATAAGCATCAAAAACTGCTACTGCTGCATTCATGTTGTTGGTGTTTTTTGAACTGTCCTGACGAAATCAGAGCCAGTTGTATATTTCAGTGGTGGTTTCTTGGAAAGATTTGTGCATTATTTTCATTTATCTTTTCTTGCCTGATAATACTTTAATTCTTCGAATGGGTCTTGTTTACCAGTGGGTTCAGCTGGAATGCCTTTAAGAAACACTTCCTCCCTCCATGCTGAAAGACTGCACTTCATCTGGGGAAGGAAGAAATAAACAAAAGGAGAGTGTGGTCCACAGATGCGTATGCTGCCGAATTAAAAATATTATATGTCTCAGCGTTCTTTCTCTGAACGGACTCTCCAAAGAATTACTGTGCATTCATGACTGTGAACTGAGTGTGCGGTGTGTTTTGCCCATAAAATTATTTGTTTTGGAGATGTGCTGTGCCAGTAAGGACAGGTAAACAGGCAGCGACTCTAATAATTGCGAAATGAGCAGCTGTATATTAACAAAGATATTGCTAGTAAAATTTTCTAGTGTCAGTGTCAGCCTTAGTAGGGTTCAGAACTGCTTACTGCCTCTTCTCTCTTACTGGAGTATCAGAAGTTGAAAGTCTGCATCCGTGGGTACTTAATGTTTAGGCATCAGAGAGAGTGAGGTCTAGCAGGGATAAAGGAAGGAGCAGAGAGATAGTCACAGAGACATAAGACTGACAAAATAAACATTAAGAATGTGATATAGTGAAGTTTGATATGCAGTATGCAAAATGTTGCTTAAGAGACTGTACACAAGAAAGGTTTATGTAAAGAAAAGAATCCAACTTTGAGCGATGTCATCAAAGAGCAAAAGTCAATGCACTTGAGCTTGAATTTTTTTAGAATGTGCTAATGTCTGCATTTTGCCTTTGGACAAATACAATATTTATATGTAGCTAGATCATGGTTAAAGAAACCTTAATGATCCAGACTATTTTCCCCAGAAATTCGGGAGAGTTATTTTACTTTCTGCATATGCAGTTATCTAAGGGAGAACTATTTCAGATATTTACTCTTGGAAAACTAAGGTTTGAAAGTATCTCCTTCAGTTCAGTAAGGGTTCTGTCTTAGGCTGGGTGATCTGCCCTACACTTGGCCTCGCTAACATGATTTTAACGAGGTCCCTGAAGTTCAGTGATATTCCTGGTCTCCAAATCTCTGCCTTCCTTTGAGTGACTAAGTCCTGTGTCTTTATTAGTGGCAGCTCAAGTGATTATAACTGATGTCAGAGGAAAGGGTTGAATCGTGTATTTGCATAAGCTTGCAGTCTTTTTACAGTGTACGTTTCTCACTTTGATTCCAATGAGTGACCAGAGTTCTGGAAATGAGAGACCCAAGACTCACGGTAAAAAAAAATGCTCGCAGCCTTCCAGAGTATTCTTTAATTACCCTTTAATGATCTTACCATGTGCTGTATCCATCTCCATGTCTTTTTGTTCTTAATCTACTGCTGTTGTACCACTGCGTTGATAAGTTCTCCTGACCGGCTGAGCTCCGAGTTAGGACATCAGTACCATTAATTCTCCTTGCTTTTGTGGTTTACTTTTCCAGCATCAGCAAATGGGGCTAAGACTACCTGACAGCCTCACAGAGGTGTTTGGACAAATCTGTTAATTTTAGTGTAAAAGCTTCATAATCAAGATGTGATGTTGGTAGCTTGGGAAAAACTACCTACTGAGGTTTTAGGTCAGTTGAACATCAAAGTTTGTGTGCCAGCAAGGAAGAAATCCCCTAGGCAGAAATAATGGCCTCAGAATCAAAAGCCGGACTGGCAGCAAGTACTTGCCCAGGTCCTTTGGGTAAAGAGTGCCTCCCTGTGGCGAGGAGTGCTGTAACAGAAGGACACTTTGCGTCGTCTCACCTGCTGACATCCTCCATAACCCGAAACCAGTCCTTGAAACTGGCACTGAAACCTCAGTTTACATCTGATCAGAGGTCAGTGCACTGGCAACATACTGATCACGTCGAGAGGGGAAGAAACATCTTTGGTTTCATATATACTGGTGGAGGAGACAGAGACAGAACGTGTATTCATGAGATAAAGATATTGTTGTGAAGTCTTGGTAGTTTTGTGTCCTGTGTGAGCGTGTTTGGCCAGTTTCTTTTTTTCTGCAGTTCTTATAAATCAAAACACATTCTAATTTTATATTTTCTTTTTGTTTTCAGCAAACTACCTAGCTGGGCTAGAGCAGTTGTTCCCAAAATATTTTATGTTACAGAGAAGGCTTGGAATTACTATCCTTATACAATCACAGGTAAGGGATGAAGCTGAAATGAAACTGGCTTTTCCTCTTTGGGTAGTTCAGCTTATCTTCAAAAGCGTCAGGTAACCAGGTAACGTAGTGAGCTACAGATCCTAAGGAATTTTTACAGCTCCTGTTGAACTGCATACATCTTTCCTTCTCATATTGATTGCTATCAGAAAATAAAGATTATAGACAAAGAATGCAACTAGGTGAAAACGGGAGTCTTTTTTTCATGCAATTTCTTCCTTGCAGAGAAAACATCAGATGCTTAGATTCTGTGGTGACTTACACCCTTTATTGTCCCATAGACTTTAGGCAAATGTAAATCAGTAGATTATCTGACACAAATTTTGTGATTATTGATGTGTGTTTACTGTAAGGATGTTGCATCATTGTTTTGTTTCACATTTCTTTTTTTTTTCTTTTCCCTCATCATTCTTTTTTTACAAATGGACAATTGGAAATCAGAATACACAGTAAGTTTTTCTTCCTCTTTTAATTCTAAAAGTACAATAATTATGTAAAATATAGTACTGGGATCCAAACTAATTCCTTCATAATGTCACTAATAGTGCATTCAATAGTGGAACTTTAAATTTATTTGATTAAGAAGTTTAAGGTTAGCTTTGAACTGTTTCTGTGGGTATCCTATAAATTATTTACCTTTTTTTAAGCATTTTAAAATAATTTGATATACTTTTTTAGTCAGTAGCTGTAACAAAGAGAAACTTCTATAAAAACGGGCAAGACTTTTAAGGTTCTAGTTATGACTTGGAGACATAAGAATAGAGTTTGTTTTACTTATTGTTTTATTAACTTATAAAATGCTCATCTCTGGTATGGTGTCTGAGAAACTGTACAATATGTAGACAAAATTAAATATAATATGGGCCTGGTGCCCAGGAAAAACAACTATTCCCTCTAGCAGAGCTAAGGCAAAATATAGCGCATAAATCGTGAGAAAAATTGTTTTACATGTACTGGCCATGTAAGTTTTCAGCAGCCTTTGCAAGATGAGGAGGAGGTGAGGAGGAAGTTCCAGGTAAAGGGCCCCTTCAGAAACTCCAGCCTTGATTTAGATTGAACTTCTGGCTACAGATGAAACGTAATCCACTCCTTTTTGTTAACATTGCAGCGTTCAGAATGTTTGTGCAGTTTCTTAAAACCAGTAAGGAATAAAGAGAGGAAAAAGGTTCTAATGTGATAAATGTGAAAGAGACAAAATAAAGCGATTCAAAGGCTCAGATCTCGCCTGGAGGCTTAGAGTTGAAAACGTGATGGCTAGGTTTGACTAGCCCCAAAGTACCACACCCTGCTTTTCAATATGTACTGTAGATATCTATTATATATTCTGCATTTTCGTATGTAAAATTCATTTGACTCTCAGAGGAAACCCTTATGTCCTGTAACGGACAGTAGTACAAGGACAGCAGTAATGAGGGGACAGATTCTCAGCTGTTATTGTGTGATATTATCTTCAATAGGGCCTATCACAGTTTACATTAATGAAGGGTTTACCCTTTGATAGCAGGTTTAATTTTAGATGGGGAAGGTGATGTGCTATGTTGCAGTGATGTCCGTTACTTACACTTTGTTTTTATTCTGTTTTTTTTCATTAACTGTTTACATTTTGAGCATACAGGGTTTGAAGGAAAAGGAAAAACACCGCCAGAGAACTAAAAAACATTCAGCATACAGAGGCTAAATTAAATATGATTTCTTTTGGTTCAGACTTATAGTATGCAAAATCTAAACTGTGTTTTTAATACAGATTGGCTAAGGAATATATTATGGAGACAAATGGAGAAGCATAACAAAGCGTAAACTGTAGTAAATTACTAAGACCTGACTATATTTAAGTGAATACATTTGGAGAAAGATAAGCCAAACAAACTTAACTGAAAGAGACAATTAAGAATGCTGAAAGGGGTGGTAGTGGACAGAAAATTATGTCTAAATTTGAAACACAATACTTGAGACATTGTCAACCCCAAAGAACAATGCGGGACCCAGAAATTTGAGTCATGAGGTGGTCTGTCTGATCTGATGAGACAAGAGCTGAAACACATTTCAGCAAAGGTCTGTAGAAGGGTTACAATTAGCAAGATGTTCAAGAACATCAGCAAAAATACCATTGGTGGGTTGAAGAGGCTTGTAAAGAAAAACTAAATGGGTCTACAAATGTAGAAGGTAGGCAAAACAGTCACTAAGTGACAATATATGAGAGTTGGAGACTGATTATTCACCAGGGTGCAAGGAAACACAACTAGAAATATTCGTATGAAATTAAGGAAATTGTATTTCAGATACAAATCTAAAATATATTTTAATGGAGCTGCTAGGCTATGAAATGATTTTCAAGGGAAAATGAAGAAAGTATCTCTGCCTCAAGCTGTTGAATCTAGAACAAAAAGGCTAAATATGCCATTGGGAATAATTCCTACGCTTGTCTGGAATATTTCTCCAAATTTTGATTCGCTTTATTCATTAGAGACTTCTGAAAGAAAGTATGAAACAACACAGATACTGCCAAAAGTATGTATGATCACTTGGAAACACTTTTTCTAAAGAAAGTACATTCACTCTAGAGGGTCTGAGGGTCTAGAGGGTCATCCTAAGAATGAAATTGAGCCTCATTTCAAGGAAAACTGATTCCAAAGGTAGGCCAGCAATGGGATAAACAAAGCGTAATCTTACTGAGTCAAGTACATACGGCTAGGAAGGAAAAATCAAACCTTTCTAACCTCTCAAGTTCCACTCTGAATAAAGAGCAAGAACTTTCAAAGCTCAGTAGTGTTATTTCAATGTATGTTAGTGATCTGGAAGAGGATGTGGACAACACACTGAAGCTTGGTCATAGTATTAAGGTTTTTCTGTTGTAAAATACAAAGGCTGGTGAGAAAGAGTATTCAAGCACATCGGAATTCAGTGATTTGATGCAGAATAATTTAATAAATCCGGTTTTCCTGTGAAATACTATGGGTTTCATATATTTGACCTGCTTAAGGAGATCCTCTAAGAAAGAAATCTCAGCAGGCATTGGAACTGTTTTCCAGAATACTGTTCTCTGGGATGTGTGAAAACCTAGGAGTGCCTTGGATGCATGAAAACAGGAATGGAAATTAGAGCGTAATGATGTTAGTACTCTATAATCTGGGTTCAGTTTTGATGGTATCTCCTTTAAAGAATGGTATTTGTTACACAGCAAACCCCTAAATTTGACGCAAACAGGAGATGACTGCTTGGTCTACTACCAAGTCTGATAACTATATTAACAAAATGGAAAGCAAATGAGCTTAACAGAGCTATTGTACAAACAGTGTTTTTTTGTGGTGTGTAGTATGTGCAACATTGTAATGTCAAGAGAGCGTTTTAAAATGTGTACTATTCTGGCTGTGGAGGAGGACCTTGTTAAAACTGCAATACAAAAGACTTCCTATCAGGAAGATGAGACATGGGAAATATCCCAACAAATGCTTTGAATATCAAACCTTGAGCTAATCCTTGTAAGCTTCTTCCTGACATTGAGAGGGAGGAGGAGGTACAAAAACTCTACTTTTGCAGTTGAAGCCAAAAGAAGAGGTCCAGATTTGGGGATAACCATTTAGAAAATAAGATGCTGCTATAAAGTTCAAGTCTTTGTTTTAGTGGCTGGAGCATGACTCTAGTACTGTGCATGAGAAAGTCTAATAATTAATGTGACTCTTACATTTAGCACAGGAGTTGCTTTGTTTTTAATCTTGTAATTAGAAACCGGACTGGATAACTTGCTAAAACAAATGTTTAATTTGTTTGATGTTGTAATTAGGTTTAAGTTAAGCTTATAAATTTTGGGTGCTGTATTTAGGGTCCAGCTGAAAGGCAGCCCTATAGAAGTAACTCCTAGGGACTTTGCTGCAGGAGTAATTTGGGGGACTTAGGTCCTGGTGAATGCTTCCTGTCAAGGTACACATGCTCTTGGGGAACTGGTGTTGCCAGCTGCTGGGTTTTACAAAGAATTCCTTTGCTGGTCACCAGCTGGAACCTTTTCCGCCAGGACTGTGGAGGAGAGATGCTTCATAGCTATCCACAAACACCTATGTGTCAGCTTATTGCAGCATTTGCAAATATATATCTTTAGAGTGAAATATTTAGGCTATCGTTATGTATGTGGACAAGAATGACTGAACTCTCAGGAGACTTTCTTATTTTTCTTTCCTGAGGTTGTCCAGCTAGATTAGAAATAATTAACTAGAAAGCAAACCTGTCTCTACTGCAAACCAAATGAAAAAGGATTACATAGAACTAAGTTTCTGTACCTGCATCAGGATATTGTTAAACAATAAGCAGCCTAGAAGAAATACCCATTTGACCTGTTAAAGTGACAGTTCAGATTCTGGACAAGAAAGGAGCCTCAAGCAAACAAATAATCAGATAATAGGCTGACACAACCTGAGTACAAACCAAAATTCATATGATCAAAGTACACTGAAAATAAGCCTAACAAAGTTGAGCTATCGAGGTGGAGTACAAAGAGGTTAGGAAAAATACAAGCAGCATTCAAGCAAACCGTTCTGAGTTTGAAGGTGCAGTTCAAGTGTTTACCAGGGATAATTTCAAATGCTTTTGCTGTTTGATCTAAATAGTTCCAGTGTTCTTAGCAATGTTTCATTTCTCCGACTGGAATTTAAAAACAGTTGGATAATTTTGACCCGCATATAGTTAGGTATAATCAATGGCCAATTGTTAGTTCCACTATTAGAAGTATATAAAGGACGATACAGACTGAGAACAGAGTGTTCTTCTGTCTGCAGGGAAGAAGAGAATTCTTTCAACTTGCCAGTGGTTCAAATTAAGTTAGGAATAGGGTGTAAATTCAGAATATTTATGAAAAACAGTTAGGAATAGAAAGCAGGAGAAAATGATTCCTTTGATGATGTATCACAATGACACTCATTCTCCTACAACAAATGACTGAGGCAAATACCCATTTCGTCTGGTATGCGTCAAGGCCCCACAGTGATAGTTGCAAATGTTCCATTATTGACCTACTGTTTACTGATTACTTTGAGAACAGGCATGTTATATGTTTTTGTGATTGTTATTTTTATCATCAGATAATAGACTTGAGAAAGAGTTGCTTCAGATAAATATTGCAAGGAATTTGTAGGATTTTTTTTTCCTATGTTCTCTTTATCTGATTACCACTGCTTGAAATTTGGACGCAACCCATCAGTCTTGCGCTCAGTGCACAAACTTCTCTCCGAGTCAGCATATGAAGGGTCTGCATCAAAAACGCATTGCAGGACTGGAGCCTAATATGAAGTAACTACCAAACTTCCTTTTTTTAGGCTCACAGCAGAGGCTAGCTGGTGGCATTACTCTAGTAAAACACAGAATGGCTGCTTTAGAGATTCTAGGAAAAGAAAGGACCTCGGTAGCGTTTACAAGAAACAAAGACTATATTTTTAGAAAACAGCAAACCTATATTCTTATT